TCTGACTTACTATTATCTATGACTCATGACTAATGATGTTTCACCTTCATATATTTCTGATTTACTATTAACTATGACATATGACTATTTTTTGTTCATGTTCATTTATTTCTGACTTACTACTATCTATGACTGCTGACTAATGATATTTCACAATTATATATTTATGATTTACTATGAACTATAATTGATGACTATTGATTAATCAGTTCATTTGTTTCTGATTTACTATTATCCACGAATGCTGAATGTTGATTATTAATGTTCATTTATTTCTGACTTACTATTATCTATGACTGATGAAAATTGATATTTCAGCTTTATTTATTTCTGCTTTCCCAGGAAATCTAACTGGTGACTACTGATTCATGAAGTTCATTTGTTTCTGATTTACTATTTTCTATGAATGCTGAATGTTGATTATTCATGTTCATGTATTTCTGACTTACTATTATCTATGACTGATGACTATTGATATATCAGCTTCATTTATTTCTGATTTCCCATTCACTTTGACTAATGACTAATGATTTATCAAGTTCGTTTGTTTCTGATTTACTGTTATCCACTAATGGAGAATGTTGACTATTCATGTCCATTTATTTCTGACTTACTATTATCTATGACTGATGACTGTTGATAATTCACCTTCATATATTTCTGATTTACTATGAACTCTGACTGATGACTGTTGATTAATCAAGTTCTTTTTTTTCTGATTTAGTATTATCCACGAATGCTGAATATTGATTATTCATGTTCATTTATTTCTGACTTACTATTATCTATGACTGATGACTGTTGATTTTTCACCTTTATATTTTTCTGATTTCCTATTAACTATGACATATGACTATTGGTTGTTCATGTTCATTCATTTCTGAATTACTATTATCCAAGAAGTGTTATTAATGATTATTCATGTTCATTTATTTCTGACTTACTATTATCTATGACTGATGACTATTGGTATTTCAGCTTTATTTTTTTCTTGTTTACATTAACGATGACTGCTGACTATTGATTAATCAATTTCATTTATTTATGATTTACTATTATCCACGAATGCTGAATATTGATTATTCATGTTCATTTATTTCTGAATTACTATCATCTATGACTGATGACTAATAATATTTCACCTTTATATATTTCTGATTTACTATGATGTATGACTGATGACTATTGATTAATCAAGTTCATTTGTTTCTGATTTACTCTTATTCACGAATGCTGAATGTTGATTATTCATATTCATTAATTTCTGACTTACTATTATCTATGACTGATGACTAATGATATTTTACCTTTATATATTTCTGATTTACTATGAACTCTGACTAATGACTATTGATTAATCAAGTTCGTTTGTTTCTGATTTACTATTATCCATGAATCGTGATTAGTGATTATTCATGTTCATTTTTTTCTGACTTACTATTATCTATGACTGATCACTATTGATATATCATCTTTATTTATTTCTGATTTCCCATGAACTTTGACTGATGAATATTGATTTATCAAGTTCGTTGGTTCTGATTTACTGTTATCCACTTATGTTGAAAATTGATTATTCATGTCCATTTATTTCTGACTTACTATTATCTATGACTGATGACTATTGATATTTCAGCTTTATATATTTCTCATTTCCTATTAACTATGATATATGACTATTGGTTGTTCGTGTTCATTTACTTCTGAATTACTATTATCCACGAATTGTTATTATTGATATTTCTTTTTTTTCATGAAAAATAGCAATTTTTAATAGAAAAGAGTACTATTCAGTTCTCTATTTCATTATTAAACAACTCAGGAAGGAGAAAAGAACAACTCAATCTTTTTCTACTGCAGTAGAACAGGATTACAGACTCTCCCACAGGCCTCTAAAACATAGAGATGGAATATTTCTAACGGTCTTATAATGACAGTTATAGCGTTCAAGCAATTCAAGGCTATAGTGAAAACATTCAATCAAGAGCAATTCACACAGAGTATGTACTGTTCTCAAACAGTTGTACTAATAGTAAATTTAATTAAAATAAGAAATTATCATAACATTATGCTCATCACATATGTGGATAAACATCAGTAAAGATTACAGCTCTCAGTCATAGTGCTGCAGTGCTCTACACTACTATAAAACAGCCAAGGGCCTGGCATACTCAACGTGGCCAAAAGGCTTTACTTCTTGCAAGCTGTGTATCTTTCAGTAACATTCTCCCAGTTGATTACATTCCAAATAGCCTTCAGATAGTCAGGCCTGACGTTTTTGTACTGGAGGTAGTATGCGTGCTCCCACACGTCAATCCCCAGCAGCGGAATAAGGCCTGTTGTTCCTTGCAGAGGGTCCTGATTAGAGCAGGCAGCAATCTGTAAGAGACCTTGCTCCTTATTGAAGCCAAGCCAGCCCCAGCCTGAATCTTGGACTCCCACAGACACGGCTGTCAGTTTCTCCTTAAACTTCTCAAAAGACCCAAAGTCACGCTTGATAGCCTCCAGCAACTCTCCTTTGGGT